TTGGGAAAAGGTATTTTGGGGTGACTGTTAGGAAACTGAAAGAAAGAAATGGGGAACATGTCACTAACTTTCATAAGCACAAAACCCACTCTATTGTACAATCACTTTGATAAATGCAGTAAAGGTGCTTCAGTTCTGCGTAAGTACTAGACTTCAGAAAAAAACAACAAACGACAAAACAAATTCTCCTGTCTCGGTCATGGGCATCATGGATTATCCATTCCGCTAAGTTAGTTTCCTGTAGAACAAATATGGGATATTTCGTTCCGGCGTGCATTTGAGCTTGTCTTATTCTTCCATAACATCTCAAAATTCCTTCAGCGTCTGGTCGCATGTTCAGTAGTTTCAGGGATCTTGTGATATTGCTGCTGATTCTGACTCTTCGATGATACTTGATAAGAATACGGCCAGCGAACTCGAGTTCCCTTCCGTTCAGATATGGTGTTTCCCGTGGCACTGTGGTGTCCTGTACTGCTGAATTCACTTTCATATTGCTTTTCTCATTGATTCGTAAAACCAGTGAGCGTACAAATCTGAGCGCATGAGCTAATATCCGCTTTACTTGAGTGAGTGTTCTTGCATGACCGTGACGAATTATTTCTGAGTCGTCGGAGCAGAGTGTTGATACCGATGCTGTAGCAGAAAGGATCCTTATTTGGTGTTTTCTCAGCTGATTCGTTAACTTTCTCCCCGGTGGCGTCTTGTGAGAACATTCTGTCTTGGTACGGCCAATGCTGTCGGTGTTGCCTGGGGAACCATGGTTCAGTCTACCAGAAGTGGTTTTGCAGTTCATTTGTTGTCAATCCTCTTTTTCCGCAGTCCGCTATGAATCTTGGTAGTGCCTTCCGAAATTTCTGCGCCTAATCTACAATTTTTCCCAATTCGTTCGTCCTATCCGTAGATAATTGAGTATCCCAATCATATTGCTCCTTCCATAATCTCAGGTGGAATACTCGTGCAGGGTATAGCAGAGGAACGAACCAACCCAGTAGATCGCATATTGTGGCTATTGCGCTTGTGGCTGATCGTTTGGTTGTAGTAGAGCTTTCCGAGAACAACCACGATAGATCTAGTGTGTCTGTCTGACGATAACTGGATGCCAATTACCTTCAGAGAGCAGGTTTCGGCTTTGTCGACTTCATCTATTGCTTCCAATACTTTAGGATTGTTTGAGGCAAATTAACGCAAATTTATGCCTAACTCGTTGAAAATCCTCTTCGATTTCTTATAGAACTGCACCGACTCCTGATACGTATCTGATGTTAAGATGTGATTATCGACATAGATATTGTTTTTGATCTTCTGTGATACCTCGATGTGCGTGTCCAGAACCTTGTCGTTCCTGCTAACAGGAATGGTGAGGTTTTGATCCCGAACGTAACCCGACTGAAGCGCAGCATATTAGAATATTTTCCCTTCTGCGGTGGTTTCTTGTGTCCAGCAGCCACAAACATCTGGTGGCATCTCTATCCACTTCATGCAATCTTATTTGCAGAAATGTTTTTTCGACGTCCGAAATTGAAGCTATCGCTCCAATGCGGAATCGGAGTAGTAGTCCATACAAAGATGGCAAGCACTGGACCTCTATGGAGGACGTCGTTGAGAGATGGACTGCCTTTAAAATGGCTGAGGCATCGAAGACTATACGTAATTTGGTTCTCGTCTTCTGTGGTGTGAAGACCGGCTTATGGGGTATACAGTGGATTTGATTCCCTGCAATAGGGCTGTTATTGTCCATTACTTTCACAATGTTCTTCTGTAACTGCTTCTAAAACACGTAATTTTATTGTTCGAGCAGTGCGTCATCCTTTTGTAGCGAAGTCCACACGTTGAATAGTCTTCTTAAAGCTATAGCGTAGTTGTCCAGGAGATGAGGATATTGCTCTTTCAACGGTAAACGCACATAGTAGCCATCGTCTCTTTTTTTTCTATTGTTTTGCTAGATTGCTCCCACACCATTTTATCTTGTGATTCTCGAGCCTCCTTCATGGAACCCATGAATTGTTCCGTTCCGGCGGCGTCCATTGTCCAGTAATTCTCCCATTTTTCTTGTTTTGTTTCAGATGTTTGAGAATCATTGGTACAGATACGTTTACTTGGACGTCCATGGACCAGTAGCCGCCCCGGATTAGCTCTTGACTCTCCAGAAATAATATATCCTAGCTTGGTTGGAATGAGCATTATTCCAGAGGGAAGAGATATCGGAGGTATGCCCTTCTAAAAAGCGTCCACATTCGGTCGCATCCTAGCAGGTTCCAAGGATTGATGACTCCTTTGTTAGAATTAAGATGCTGCACCGATATTTTCATCGCGTGTATCGCTCGGCGATCTATATCCGGTGCATGTGGTGTAGGGAAGGGCCGAGTCAGCACATCATGGGTGCGTAACTGGAGCCTATGGATCTTGCCTTCTGCGTCCCACATATCCAGTTGGACGAGTTCACATGTGGCTTGTCGAACATCCTTCGAACCAAAGGTATGAAGTTCAATTTTTTCTTCCTCGAGGACTGGAAGATCCAGTTCTCAGTTCCCTGGCTAGAGCTATGTCGATGAAGGAGACTTCAGCTCCACTGTCAGGCAATATTCTATTTTACGAAGAGTTTTCGTTTTTGGGTCCAGCACGGTGATTTCTCCTGTGGGCAGTAGCGATCTTCTGTTCCTTTTCGTGTGCAGCATTGCTTGAAGTTGCAACACTGCGATGTGATTCGTACGTCGATACTGTTGGCTGATTGATCATTAGTAGCGGTGCGTTGACTACTATTGACCGATACGTGGACTCCATTTTCCTTTTTCGGTTTCTCCGGTGGTTTGTTCTCCGCGTTTGAATGCTCCTGCCTCCTCACAGTTGCTTCCGTCCTGCCATTTTGTCGACTAAGGCAGCATGAGCTGTGATGGGCAGCTTTGCAGTAGAAGCAGAATCGACTTTTACACTGTAGGGTTTTATGTGCGGGAGAAACGCATACAAGGCACAATTGGTTTTGTCTCAGATACTGAGACCTGGCTTGTGGTGGAGGAAAGACTGTGCACAACGAAGCATGCTCGCCTTTGTAGTACATATAAGTCTTCTTCGTAGTCGTCTTCGGATAGATTCATGACGGGATGTTTGGTGATTCGTAGTTCTTGCTCCTATGTATGTTGTACACATCTCCTCTGTGATAGGTGGAACAGCGTATTCGTGGTAGATTGCTCGCTAACGCAGTTCATGTCAAAGTGTTTATTACACGACAATGCATACACGACGTTACAATGATTGGATACCTACGGCTACCTGGCTCTCAAAGGGAACGTGTTGTGTACTGGGTGTGCTGGTGAAGCCTTAATGTTAGGGTTGCGTGCATTGATTAAGTGACGGTCCAGTGGTACCCATGTCCCTTGCCACGTGTTGATGTATTGTTGGGCTAGTTGCGAAGTGGCGCCTCTTAGGTTATTTGCTGTTACGTGCCTTACGTTATTTGAGTGACGACCGGAGTTGCTTGTTGGAGAGGCGACCAGTTGGGTTGAGCGAACCGAGCGAAGACTGACTCGAACTGCCGGGCGCGGAATTTGTACCCCGAAATGTGGACGGCAAAGGTGGCTCCCGCCTATTGGATGGATGCCGCTCGCCATTGGGCTGTGAGGGGTCGCCGCTCGAATCTTGTGATAGTGAACTAAGGTGTCAGCAATCTGTTGAAGAATGAATAATATGCTTGCCTCCTCATTATCATGATCTGATTGTGAGGGTCATGACACTCCGCACGACGAGGGAGGTTATGTAAACGCCAGTAATTCTCGTTTGCATCCTCCCCGCCACTTAGTAGCATCCAACACAATATTAGACAAACGTACGATAAAAGTGTGCATAATTACAAATTAGTGGCGTTATTGTAGTTACTATCACAACTACAAGGTATAAATTACAGCAACACAAAAGTTTCGAAATCTACTTTTAATAATTATGAAAGACTACGGCAAGAAGGCTTCGTGATCATTTGTCAGCTCTAGTCGTTTGGGGCTGCTGGGAAAGCTGCGAAACGTAGCTGTTGGTGACGAGATGTTGATCAGCTTCCGCGTGTCTTCTTTACCTCAGTGCTTGATGAAACGAGATGACGCTAGAAGGCGTATAGGAATGATCGAGAGAAGAGAAGAAGAAGAAGAGAAGAATGACGACATGGAAAAGCAGCGGATAAGTGTAAGAAGAGTAAATAAGATCCTGAGAGGGTGGATAACCGAAATTATGTTATTGAAGGTTGAAGTTCGTTCAGAGGAATGTGAAGGAGGAGGGAGAGCAAAAAAGAGTGTAGCTGATCATGAGCACGAGAAGAGGTAAGGCTATAGAGGAGAAATTGTTTACAGGTATGAAGAAAATGTGAGAAGTCCGGGAGAGCGATGTCAATATTGAAGGAGGAATCTGTTGCATTAGTGTTGTCCCACAGTGTTATGTAGTGCCATAGGGGTCGTACAGTGTTTATGTAGTTCAATGTTCTTTGGAGTTGGAAAATAATTGTGTGTGTAACGCCTGGCTGGGCCTGGCTTTGCTCGTCTATTCTTGCTCCGTTATATTTGCCGTAGTTTGTGCAAGTGACGGTAAATTGTTGCAGTCCACAGATTATCTGCGCAGTAGCTTGCGGGATGTCGGACTCGCAGAAGATGGTGGCAACAGCACCTTCGATGCAATTATACCATCCAAGAAGGTTATGAGGAAGAATACGGCAATTGAAGTTTCGAATGTTTTCTACAAGAGATGTTATGTTGGGGTTCAGCGAAAGCATGACTTCCACTGAAACGGCACTGGTTCTTATTGTTGGAGTATTGCGGTGTTTCTCGGCGGTGATCAAGCCATTCGGTATGGGCATGGTTAATACATTTGGAAGCTCTGTGATTTGTGTAATGTTATTGTTGGTGAAATAGCAAGTAATGGAATCTTCGGCTGGATTACATTTGCATGTGTCTTTTATGACCCAGTTGGTCCTATTGGTATGATTGTGGTATGAGACATCGAGGAAGGGTACCCGCATGAACAGCTTAAGCCTCCACAGGATTCGGAACAATATGTGATTCCTGTGAAGTTGTTTGCCTCTGCAAGTCCATCGACAAGGGTGTTGAAACTGATTTTTGCGCATTTATTACCAGAGCAGGTGCCCATGTGGGGGCAGCGCTTCTTGTATTGAACGTTTGTAAGTGTATTGCGTGTTAAGTATGAAGTTTCTTCGCGGCATCTCAGAATTAGTTTGTCCATGGAAATGCGCATGAAGTGGATTTGTTTATTGCCGTGTTTGAGTTGCAAGCAAACATCAGGTTGCATTTGGTTTAGAGGAATGATGACTGTTGTTTGGTTATGGCAATTGTTATTCGAGGGATCGCATTGTGATGCCGGGGTTGGTAGAAGTACCGTTTGTTGACAGCCATGTGCCGGTATAATAAGGCATGTAAAGATAACGATCAGTCGTATGATTGTTTTTGTAGTCCATTTATTGTTAACCTTATCGAGTTGAAGGAGAGGAATGTAACTGTCGGGCGTGCGTCATGTTCTCTGTGGCCATCGGAGAATGGAGATGAGTGAACAGGATGTAGCGGGTCTGCGGATGCTGGCGAAGATGCGGAAAAATTTGTGTATGACTCTAAACAAATGTAGGCCGTGATGGCAGAGATGTAGAGCAAAATAGCTGTAACAGCAATAGCGATTCGTGGCCAGCATTCGGGATTCGAGACCATTTGCGAAAGAAGTTGCACTGTGTTTGCTCGCAGAACGGAGTAGCGTGTAAAGTGATGTGGGAAGTAAACATTTAGAATTTGATCTGAGTCGTTGATTTCTATGCAGTGGTCATTTTCGCAAACCTGCAATCCCTCTGCTTTCTGCGTTGCTTCTATATGACTTCCCCTGTGATGCAGTTAAGGTGGGTGTTCGAGGTTTGAAGAGGGTGAGTTGATTGAAGCCATGTGATAGCTAGTGCGACAGTGAGCCAGTGTTTCCATAGGGTAGAGGTGTATGACGTCGAATGTATGGAGGGAATGAATGTAATGAAATGACTATACGATTTGTTTTCTTTTGCACGTCACTGAAGTGGTGGTTGTGTACGTTTTGAGATATTTTCTAGTGTCGATGTATAATTGCTATCTGTCGGATCCTCTGCGTGGTGTTGGTGTACCGCAGGAGGTGGTATTATGTTGGGGTTCCACTTGAGGGTGGTCATCGTCGTCTAACTCTAGAGGAATGAGCATGTTGATCGATCGCTCTATTTCTGATTTGCGCGATCGTAGTTTAACAAAGCTTACGACACCGTCTGGATCTTGAATTATGGTTGCGACAAGGCTTAGGGGCCAATGAGAACATATTGTTTCGTTATCCATCATAAGGACTACTTCTCCTATGAGTGGTTGTTTTCTTAAGAATGATTTTTGTCGTATGCGTCGTTGGTGGAAGTTACGTAATTCAAGCAGACAAGCCGTAGTCCAAGTTTTCCATAGTTATCTTAGGTAAGTGAGTTGCTTACGGAAACATTCAAGTGCTTGAGTGCGTGTTGATGTGCGAGGGAGGTAGTCGGTATCCTCATCGGTAGGATCTGTTGAAACGTTCACAAACGGAGTAATATCTGCTTGTGGAATGAGGAAGTCTATGGGTTGCAAAATTAGTGAATTCTCTACGGCACTGCCCGAGTAAGCGAGTGGTCGTGAATTGACCATCGCTTCGCACTCAGTGATAATGGTAGCAAAGGCGTCATCATCGACTGCTCGTCCGTGCAGAATACGCCTCAATGTTGATTTAATAGACGTTTGTGGAAACCGCCCTTCCATGGGAAAAGAGGAATTATAAACCGCCACTGAATTTGTTCTGGAGTGATGTAGCATTGTAAGATGGGATTTTGGGATTGACAGGTGTTTTCTGTGGTATGAAGGAGTTCCTGGCTAAGTTTGAGGTTAGAAGCGTTGTCTGATATAATAAGTTGCGGGTGTCCGCGTCGCGAAATGAATCGCCTTAGAACATTTGTAACTTGCAAGGCGCTTAAAATCTTGATGACTTTGAGGTGGACTGCTCGAGTTGTCATGCACGTAGCGAGGAAGATCTATCGTGTTACATCAGTTTCGTCATCATTGGTCACCATAAAGGGACAGCGAGGTTAATGCCGATATGTGAGAAGGGACGTGTTGGTTGGGTTCTTGAGGATGGTAATGGTGGCGAAACAGGATAGTAGCAAGGACGTCCGTTCCATTGCTTACAGGTAACACAACGTCTAAGATACTTTCTTATGACTTGTCGTCCTTTTGGTATCCAGTAAAGGAGGCGTAGATTGGCAAGAGCACCGCTTACTCCTTGATGACCACAACGTTGATGAGCCTCTGAATGAATAACTGAATAACATGTTCGTTTGGAAGGAGTAAAATGGGCTCTAAAACGGCTCGCGGTAAATGTTTAGCTCTTGTTCTCCCGCGACACCGAATCACTCCGTTTTCATCGGTGTATAAAGATAGGTGTTCCGACTGGCGCCGCTTTTCTTCGGTTAATTTGTTTGATAAATTTGAGAACAAGTGCGGCGACGCGTCGTAATGTATGGATCGAAGAGAACTTGTTGAGGAAGGGAAGGGTACATGGATGTGTTGGTGCTTTCTTTGTTGTGGTTAATGTCGCTAGGGTAGTGTGCGTTTCGATGTCTAAGGAGGAATCGTTGTTTTCACTGGGATGCCAGCGGAGCTCTTGTAGGTCCGGCCATTGATTTATGGTGTCGTAAAAAAGTTGGTCCTTCCCACCACGTCACTTGCTCCATTTGCCTTTTCGTAAGTCCTTTCGTAGTAAAGCCCGCTGGATTGTCATAGGAAGGTATACATTTCAAGTGGTTTTCAATCTTGTTTTGAGACCAAGAGGATATCATATATCGGATTTCACTACATTCGGTTATCTAAGATGCCATTTTTCGCGTTTGATTGTAGCCCAATGTAAGTCCACCAGTGAGACTCTGTATAATGTAATGGTTTTTGTTTGAATTTTAGGTTCTTTCAATACAAAATTTATGAGTCTCACGCCAATGCGAAAAGCAAGTAACTTTAAGCGTGGAATAGTCAAGGTTTTCGTGTTGAGTGGTGCGAGTCATTGTCTAGCCATTAAGAGAGAGCTGGTGACGACCCGGGCGTACCTTCCGAGCGGAGATAGATTGCTACGGCATAGGCTCTTACGGATGCGTCTACGAAGGAGTGGAGATCATAAACAGTTTGTTGTTGTCGCTGGGCAATGAGCGCACGTGGGAATTGTGCAATGAATCCATGTGTCTTGTCGCGTATATCTTTCCAGGCCGTGTCGTACGTTTTGGGAAGAGGTTCATCCCAGTCTCGTTTATTTTTCAAAAGATCTTGCAGAAGGAGTTTAGTTGGTAAGAGTAACGGTATCAGTAATCCGATGGGGTCAAAGGTCGAATGTATGGCTCGTGATATTCGGCGTTTTGTATTGTTTATAGAGTATGTCAGCTTGCATGAAATGGAGAACGTGTCTGTAGAAGAGTCCCAAGGAATGCCTAGAATTTTCGATGTTGGTGTTACTGCTTTGTTCTGTTCGGCAATAAAATGGTTGCAAAATTGATCATTGGTGAGGAATTGACGAAGGTTCATAGAAATATCAGCAAATATTTGTTTGCATGCATAAGAGGTATTGTGTAAGGATTGTGTAGACTTGTCGACCATAAGGACGTTATCAACGTATAGGTTCTCAACGAGTTTTCGGACAATAGTAGCATCGAATTGTTTTTGTTGTTCGATGCCGTACTGAATGAAAATGCCTAGTAAAAACAGGATACGTTTATTTCAAATGAAAGCCGACGGGTGGAAGGTTGATATCTTTTAGCCACAAGAATCGTACAGCGTTTCTGATTCTTGCAAGTAGATCATGTGAAATGCCTTTTTGACATTGGCTATCATTATTTTGAGGCCTAATCGGGCCCGAAGGAGGATTCCGCATAGACTGGATAGGATTAAGAGACCTTGGCATCATTAAGACTTAATTGTCCCTTCATTTTTGGAGAGGCGTCGAGGACAATTCGTGTTTTTGTTGTGGCGCTTCTTGTTTTATGACAGCTTGATGGGGTATGTGATGTAAGGGATTTGTGGGGTTTGGTAGGTGGGGTACTTCTTCTACGAAGTGTTTGGCTACTTGTTTCTGGATCACAGTGCAATATTCCGTCCAGCATTGCGGGTTTTTCGTTTTCATATTATACACTTGATGAAGTCGAGCGCAAGATTACAGTTATCGGCAAGACTGGATTCGTTGGGCTTACACGGGAATTGAATGTAGATTTTACTATCGTAGACTGTAACAGTTGAATAGAAGTTAGATTATCTGATTGTTGAGTTCTTCATCGGAATGTAGTTCTTCAGTGCCTACTCCAGGTAATTTCCATAAGTCTGAGTAGTCCGTGTTTTGTGGATCGTACGTGCAGTGGGTGTTATAGATATGAGAACTGCCACCTTTAAGCTGGTCTCTTACTGTCATGATGTTCTGTTGTGTGCTGCCGGAAATTACTGGACCGAAAATTGTGGACGTGAGGAAAAGTCCTGATGGTTGGGATGACTGGTTCAGTGCTTAGGATGACGTTGAAACAATCTATGCCCAACAAAATATTAGGTGTTATCTCGGAGGTGGTATCGTAAAACCAAAAGCCTTTAAACTCAGGGGATTGTTCCTCGATGAAAGTTTTGCCGTCTGCATGAAGTTCTAGCATAGTCAGGGTTTGGGTGAGAATATCGTTCGCAAGCAGGGATACTTTTAGTGATTGCTCGTGTAGATTGAGCAGGGTAACTTCCACTCGCTTGACGTGTTTCTTCTCTGTGTGGCCTCTGAAAGTATGCACAATCATTGTTGTTTCGGACTGTGGAATAAGCGCTGAGCGTTTCATTAAGGAGGAAGAAGTGAATGATTGATCAGATGCGGAATCGAGAAGTTTGTATGCTTGCTCCTCCCTACTTAGAGTCATTTCTTACTTTTAGTGGTATTATCATAAGACGAGCACTACCAGCACTAACCACTTTGTCTGCAGCTTCTATCGCAGGTCCTGTTTCAAGTGGTAGGTTTGCTTGATAATTTACGTTGGCTATCTTGCCTTGTTCTACAATCGGAGTAGGAGTATTGGAACTTTGTGTACTTAATGGACGCGGTATTGTTTCCCCAATGAATGAGGGTTGTGTTCGTTCGTAGGGATGGTAACGTAGCAAAGCGAACTCTGTTGTGCGCGAAACGCTGTGTTCGCCGTATTGGGGAGGTGCTTTGCCGTCTGATAGTTTCTTTATGGTCAAACATCTGTTACGAATATGAGGTTGCTCTTTGGTGGCGAGTTGGTCTTTGAGGATTAATATTATTCTGGGCAAAGCGATTTGGGGGGTCCCGTCTTTGGTAGGAGCTTGAGCGGTCGTCATTCCGAGGCATGCGTTCAGGCACACGAAAGCGGAAGGTGAATGGTGCTGGAACGAGTTGTAAGGTGGATGTCGTACTTGCATGTTCAGTGTACTAACTCTATGATAGTGGTGGACGTATAGAAGTGACGTCGGCAAATGAGCGAGTGATGAGGCCCTCCACAATGAATGCAATCGGTTTAGTACAGAATGCTGATCTATGACGTTTGCTGAAGCATTTCCAGCATGCATTGAGTGTCTTGATGCGATTGAGCTTTTGCGCAATGGTTCGGTTTCTGTTACATGTCTCAAAGCTATGGGCAATACCACAGCCAATACAATATTGTATATGTTGTTCCCGTGTTCGTGTGTAGAAAATAGAGTGTTGTTCTTGAAGATTTACATTCCGCTTTCTATGTGTTTTCGGCTTCTGATAGTGGTTAGGTTGTTAAATGATTCATTCATGGTCCCCTCTTGTGTATTGTCGAAATCTTTACGAGCGATCTCCTCTTGAACGGTTCTGGGAAAAGTTTCGACTACCATTGTTGTCATGTAGGTGGGATCGACTACTTCTCCTTGTTTCTGAATTGTAGCTACAATGCCTTGTATGTCACTGAGGGTGTTACGCAAGGTGCGTGGGTCATCGCTGCAAGGTTCCATGGCTTTAAGTTGCCGCATCATGTTGATGGTAATCCGTTCAGGGTCTTCATGCTTGGCTTTTGAGTTGCTGTACCGCGCGTTCATATGCGTCTCCAGTGCAAGGCAATATACTTGAAGAGAAAGAAAATTGACATTATTAGTGCTATTTTATACTACGGTGAAAAAAGGGTACGGCAGAACGGAAAGAAATGTCAAAAAATAGGCTGATGGTGTTGTGGTGAGCCGGCTTTTATACCTCTTCGCTATTGCGGCGAAGTGCACATGGAGGACCGAGAAAATCTTGTTGATCTCCGCTTTTTATGTGTACTATCGCCGATATTGTCTTCTACTGGGTCATTGCTCTTTGCGCGTTATGTTGTGAAAGCCTGCGGTCGATATTGCGCCGCTGCTGAAATCGGTAGGCGTTGCTTGGTACACTGTTTTTTCAATGCTCTTGGTGGCTACCTCCCTTGTGGTCAAGGGTCGGGTCGTTGCAGCCATTAGTGAGTGAAGGAGGTTGTGATGGTATTAGAAGCATGTTTGAACAATAACAATATCGTAAGAAGTACCAAACCAACTTCGTCTGTGTCGCCTAAATAAAAAATAAATAAGTAAAGAAAATCTCAATAAGATGAATAAAGAAAATCTGCAAGAAGAACACCCTATTTTCCACACACGAACACGGGAACAACATATACAATATTGTATTGGGCTTATGGTAATTGCATAGCTTTGAGACATGTAAGAGAAACCGAACCATTGCGCAAAAGCTCGACCGCATCAAGACACTCAATGCATGCTGGAAATGCTTCAACAACGTCACAGATCAGAATCTGTACTAAACCTAGATCAGCATTCTGTACAAAAATAATATTATTCCTCAAAGACCAACTCGCTACCAAAGAGCAACCTCATATTCGTAACAAAGGTTTGACCATAACGAAACCAACAGACGGCAAAGCACCTCCCCAATAAGACGAACACAGCGTTTCGCGCACAACAGAGTTCGCTTTGCTACATTACCATCCCTACCAAACGAACACAACCCCTCTTTCATTGGGGAAACAATACCGCGTCCATTAAGTACAAAAGTTCCAATACTCCTACTCAGATTGTAGAACAAGGCAAGATAGCCAACGTAAATTATCTTGCAAACCTACCACTTGAAAAAGGTCCTGCGATAGAAGCTGCAGACGAAGCCCTGGTTAGTGCTCGTCATATGATAATACCATTAAAAGTAAGAAATTACTGTAAGTAGGGAGGAGCGAGCATACGAACTTCTCGATTCCGCATCTGATCCATCATTCACTTCTTCCTCCTTAATGAAACGCTCAGCGCTTATTCCGCAGTCCGAAACAACAACGATTGTACATACCTTCAGAGGCCACACAGAGAAGAAACACGTCAAGCGAGTGGAAGTTACCCTGCTCAATCTACACGAGCAATCACTAAAAGTATCCCTGCTTGCGAACGATATTCTCACCCAAACCCTGACTATGCTAGAACTTCATGCAGACGACAAAACCTTCATCGAGGAACAATTTCCTGAGTTTAAAGGCTTTTGGTTTCACGATACCACCTCCGAGATAACACCTGATACTTTGTTGGGCATAGATTGTTTCAATGTAACGTGTTTCAACGGCATTCAACCGATAGGGAATAGGCATAGACTGGCTGTCCAATATTACTTGTTACAGCAATGAATTTGATCTCACCAGGAAGGTAGATCGGGACGCATATTTGACGCTTTTCAAGGGCTCTCCAAAAACGGCTTTTCTCATGTCTTGGGAGCACATGCATGGACTATCGAACTGAAGTTCATTTTTTAGGAATCCCTTTAAGGATAGCGGAAAAGCAGAGAAATAGGAATACTCCCTGGTCGTGTATTTTTGCATCTTCCAGGCTCCGCTGTTTTTCTGTCCATATATATCTGTGCATAAGTATAGCTCGGGTGAATACCTTATATGGGTGCGTTCTGAATGGTGATGCCCCATACTTGGTGCTATTCAGCTATTGTAATTTTCAAATATCTTTCAACAGGACCGCAGCTGAAACTCATCTTTAGTTGGTTAGTATCCTGACCACCAATATAGCACTTGCTTCTATCCACGCTGAAATTTTTCGTCAATTTGGAGCCACATCTTCCTCCCACTAAATGCTTTATGTACACTTGTACCAGGGAGGTTCAGCACAACCCTGGTGCCATATTGCGTCAGCGCTCAAAATACGCCTCGGAAACGCGATCAAGCTATCGGCTATCCCTATATTCGTGCCTTTGGTTGCATTAACATAACAGAAACTTGTGAAAGTCCCTCACATTTTTTAACGAAGCGTGTGGACGTTCTCCTGAACAATGACAGCTCGCCCTTCCCATCCACTCAAAAGGAATACAATATCGGGAAGTTGCAGAATATATTCTAAAAACTGGATAATTAGGCATTCATTCAAACCGAGCCAGATTATCCTGCATTCATAATGGGATCATACATGAACCGTCGTGGTTTAGATTATTGGGGGCAGGGAAAACTTCCCCTGAAAAAGATAGGTTACTAAGGGACGTGGATTGGTGCGCAACCATGGCAGCCTTTTCTACCACTAATGCGTGCTGAAGATGGCAGTTGGTGCAAAAAGCCGCCCTGACTGCGCTTCAATGCACGCCTCCTACCCCATGTGCCTTCCTGTTTGCAGGGATAATGACTGTATCTAAATTACAGTGATCGAGCCAACTTCCATTGGAGTGGAACATCCAGTAGTTCATGCCCATGGTTACCCTGTGCTACAATCAGAGAGTTCGGCTGCAACATTGCAGGTAACTATGGTGTATCTTTCTTTGGACTTTGTTGTTCAGAACCCATTTTCAGGTTCCTCAAACGCATACAGGGTGCCGGAGCAGCATACCGTGACAACATCACTATCTTGCCTTCTCTCTTTGGCCATCAATTTCAGTGATGAGCAACACATTCCGCATTTCAGTCTTTATTAGGTGATCCGATGAAACACTGGATGAGTTGCCATGGAATTTTGGATTGCAATGCCGAAACGGTTTCTCATGCATAGCCTTTCCCCTACACGGTTCATTTCCGATTTTGATATTTTCTTGTATTCAATGTTTCAATAAACTGCAACATTCATATTTTTAGTGGATGTACCGCACGGGCTTTTTTGTGGGAGCGACTAATTGCAGTGAATGGAAGGCTACAGCAACGTTGAAACTTTCCTGAATTACTGACAGTTTTTTGACATTATCTCTAAAGTAAGACCGACCACTCTTCTCAGATGTTACGAAAAAAAATGTGAGTCCTCGAAAACCACGAAAAGCTGGCATGGAGGACTGTACAACCACGAGGAGCTGTGCGATCACCAGGAGCCCCAAAAAAGGTAGAGAGACGTAGTTAAGAAGGAGCTCAGAAGTGAATGCCACAGCTGAAGATGCGATGCATCACAATCAAAGGCGACGTCTAGCAAGAGCAGTGGACCATGCGACGCCGCGGAACTAACGCTAGGAGCTAACCGACGCCGCGGAACTAACGCTAGGAACTAACGCACTAGCACAAAGTTTGTGCACACAGTGTCATCCATTGTTTTTAGAATTCGCACAAGAAGGATGAAAGCCAGTGTTCAAGGATTTTGAAGCGTTATTTGCGGAGTCTCATCGCCAGGATGATCCCATTTCCCGCTCTAGAAACGATAACCAGAGCCGTTGAAACCCCGTTTGCGTCTACATCGCAATCACAATTAGGGGTGCGCAGTTTTGGGAAACGATCCTCATTTTACAACTCTCTTGGGTTTCGGTAACCTGGCTAAGTACGACTCCAACATAATGACCCTTGGGCAAGCACAACAGCAAACACACGTGCTCAAGGAGATCAAAAAAATTTCTGCTGAAAGTTTGTTAATAAGGGTGATCGATAGTCCTGATCACGATCCTGACATTATTCTCGGCGTCGACGCAGTTTAGAATAACCCTGAACATCCCTCAAATGGGTGTACATAACGAGTTTAGTGGGATGACGATTTGGCTCCAAATTGGCGATAATTGGCACTACAGCTGAAAGTAAGTGTCATAGTCGTGAACAGGGCAGTGAATAACATAAAAAGATCAACTTTCTCATGCTTGAATGGGTATAACTATTTAGAATGTGCCTACAAATGTCACATATCCAAATAAATTCATGAACAATCATATTTGGAAGCGAGAACAGCGAAACATAGAAAATGCAAAAACCCGCAGGCCGAGGAGGCCGAGGGGAGTCGAGCCACCAGTGCCACACTCACTGTCCGATCGAGAATCCTCCATGCTATCCAGTAGGCCATCCGATCGTTGTAGCTGAACACAGCTCCTGTTAATGAAGAATTGAGCTATCCCTGAGCCTTATAATGTAATGTCTTTTTCTTGAACAATGGTTGATGAGGACTCAATATATAATTTTTATGGTGAGCTTTCGCTGCTTAACAGCTTCTTTAGA